TCAGGTAAGTTGGACAAAGGTGCTGTGCTAAAAGCAATCTGTTCAGGATTTGAGGAGACAACTGAGCCTGCTATTTGTTTGAGTGAAGGTATGTTGTCCTTTTCGTTTAAGTGTAGATTTTCTTCCTAGATCGCGCCTTACCATGGAGTGCTATTTTCTTCTTTTCTGTTCACTATAGATGTTCAAACAAATGAGTGTTTGGAGAACCATGGAGGTTGCTGGGTCGACACGGCTAATAACGTCACTGCATGCAAGGTACAGTTTGAGCTCAGGATACCTCTGATATTTCATCTTCTCTCCTTCATTTATTCTTGTCTTGTAGGATAACTCTAATTCGCTGGATAACAAAATGTAGGATACCTTCCGTGGGCGTGTTTGTGAGTGCCCTATTGTCAAAGGTGTAAAATTCGTGGGGGATGGATATACCAACTGTGAAGGTACCATGAGAATTTAGTTATGTGATTGAATTTGCTAAAATGATTTCTGTAATGGGTGTTTTCATATTAATTACTACTGGAACAATGTGGTTGTTATAAAGTGTATTGGTTCACTTTTGCACACCATCCTATTATAAGAGTTGCGTCAATTCTTTGTAAGCTTAGTATTAACATTTTCTATTATCAGCTTCCGGTGTTGGTAGGTGTGAGATCAACAATGGAGGATGCTGGAAAGAAACTAAGAATGGGAAGACAATATCTGCCTGCTCGGTAAGTGGATGACTAGACATTATTATGAGGCTTACTAGTTTTAGTCGCGATTCTTTAGAAGAGCGAAAACTAAATTCAGAAAATCTGCAGCATGAAGAATCTGAAGGTTGCAAATGTCCACAAGGTTTCAAGGGCGATGGTGTAAAAAGCTGTGAAGGTACTTTATCATTATTTAGAAACTTAATTTTGCAAGACTTGGAACACAAAATTTGGTCTGAGCCCAAGCTAACCCTAGCAAAATTTGGCTAACCGATATTTTGGTCAAGGTTTTGGTTGCACATGTTTTGGCCAATGTTGGCAAGAAAAGTGAACTAGAATTGGCTAAGAGGGCATGGGCATGCCAAAATATTACTAGTAATCATCCAAACAAGAGCAAATTTTTTGGTTATGACCAAAACAATGGTATCGTGGTGTTTGGTCACCATCCACACATACCCTATTTCTTATCGAACACCAACACTTGAAAAGCCTGGCAGATCCGTATTGAATGCCATATCGATACTGATATTTACTGGATTGTGATACTATAATGCTGTGTCCTGGTATCGATATAAAAATAAAAATAAATTAACTTGGATACGTGCTGATGCATGTTAGATACGTGGTGGATACAGCTCAGACCAATAATAGTCCATAACTCACAAGGGTAATTTAACCATCATCCCCTGTAATCTTGTCTAGTGCATCACTTTCCTGACTCCCCTGCCCCTTCCTCTGTCCTGACCCCAGCCACCTTACTCTCCCTTTCGCCTCAGGCTAGTCATAGTGGGAGTAACTTAGCTAGTAACATAACACACCCCAAGACAAGTTTGCTTATGTGGCAGCTAGTTAATGAGGAGAGAGGTGCTTGGAGTAACATATTATGTTACCATCACATAGCGCTTCCCAAGAAAAGTTGAGTCTACAAGCTAATAAATGCAACCATATTTGATACTATTTCTATGACACTTTGCACTATGAAGGTAGTAAAGACTAGTATCATATGCATGACACTAGTCTAAGTTACTCCCCACTATGACTAGCGGTTTCGCCCCGACGCCTAGGTGGTGGTGCCGGCGACTAGTAGGCGGTTGTAAGCTCCTGCTCAGTGTTCCAACACGCTAGCACCAACTCTTCTTATCTTCTATGGGCAATGGTGGTGCCAGGAATTTACACTAAGGGCGGCAATCAAACAGACAACCCAGATGCGAGGTGACTGGGGCCATACAATGCAACTTAGCTATGGCATATAATGGTTTTTTAATACTCTAGTTAAACATAACCACATATTGTCATTTTCTGAAAATGGTGTATCCTCATATCGGTATCACCCTGATACCATGAACGTGTATCCATGTCAGTTCTGCATAACTCAACATATTCTAGAGAAAACTAATAAATTGCTTTTAGTTGAGAAATTTATTCGGTCATTGGGGTTGTTTTATTGATATCACCTTGCGAGCAGAGTAATGATTCCAAAGTTTGATAACTTAAGGACTTCTGGAATTATTTTTTCTAAACTTCCTTTGATCCACCCTATGTGCAGATATTGATGAATGCAAAGCGAAATCTGCCTGTCAGTGCAATGGCTGCAGTTGCGAGAATACATGGGGAAGCTATGAATGCAGCTGTGGTGGTAACAACATGTTATACATGAGAGAGCAAGACACGTGCATCAGTGAGTAACCTAACCTGAGATTTCTCCTTAACTATCTTCTTATTTGTCTTGCAAGAACCAGTATACTACTCCCTCCGTCCCATCATATGAGTGTTTTTGACACTACACTGGTGTCAAAAACGCTCTTATATTATGGGACGGAGGGAGTACTATATTATTAGTTATAAGAAGCAAATTCACCTGTTCAGTTGAGCAAAATAGCTTCTTCTGTTTGAGATGGTTGAACTTATACTTTCCTGTTACTTGAGATGTTTGATATTATACTTAAGTTTAAATGATGAACTAGTTATTTTCCAAGTCACCAGTAAGTTTGTGAAGATCAGGGATTGTGTTAGTTGCTCAATAAACGATGGCTACTGCCACAATGATTTTCCTTGATGTTTGTATATGGTGAATAAGCGATAGACCCAAAGTGGTCGGACCCTTCCCCGGACCCTGTGCAAGCGGGAGCTACATGCACTGGGCTGCCCTTTGTATATGGTGAATTATTACATGTTCTTTGTTTAGCCTTATCAATGTACTCCAGCAAGGGTATTAGTCAGATCACCGGCTTTATATTGCTGGGTACTGTAAGTGTAGTTTCTATTCACAGAAGCTGGCATAGTTGCAGTTTTAAGTATTGGCAAGTGAAGCAGCAGCTGCAGGGTGTGTTTACCGTAATCCGCACCACATTGATCTTGCACTCCATTTTGCTGCCTGAACACAAATGATACATGTGCATAAAAAACAGTTTTATGGATACCCTAGTTATACAGATATTCTGTTAACCTAATGTTGTCAGCAACTAAAATTGTGTCACAGTTTAATTTGATCACTTGTTTATATTGTTGTAGTCTAGTGCTAGTCTAATGCTGTTGATAAACTCGTTGCAGGCAAACAAGCTGCCTCCTCAGTCGGCTGGAGCTTCATGTGGGTTATTTTCTTCGGACTTGTATTTGCCGGGGTTGGAGCATATGCAGTTTACAAATACCGGCTACGGGTAAAACATCTCTACTCATCCTCGTAACGCTTGACATTTATTTATTTTCAAGTGGTCTTGGGTTGGACTTGAACCAGTCGGTTGTTGATAATAATACGTATTTGTGTGTGCTACCAGAGTTACATGGATTCGGAGATCCGCGCCATCATGGCTCAGTACATGCCTTTGGACAGCCAAGAAGGCGCAAACCAGCAACAGCATGTCGCGCATGCTGGTGATATCTGAGACCAGATGGCACTGCTTTTGCTGAGCAACACAGAAGCGTGCAGTGCAGCGTATGTATTATCATCGGTGGCGTCGGCTTTACAGCGCAAAGATACGGTTTGTACGCGAGGAGATTTGATGTATGATTCTAGGAAGTTACACTGTTGTGAACCTTCATTTTGTGAGACACGATGAACAGCATAGGCGGATATTGTCACGGTTTACCCTACCACCTTTGTCGGCTCTAGTCTCGTTGCATACTACTGTACTACGCACGTGTCAACATCCTGTAAATACTTGGTGTTCAGACTACTTGCCCCTGTTATATCTGAATAAATCCGGAGCCTATAGGTGGTATACAATTATTTCCTTTTTTTTGTTTATCTGTGAGTGACTAGAGCAATCGCCTTTTGCTTTTCGAAGTGGTCAAATCGCAGCATAAAACCTCGCGTTACATGGGCTGCAAGCTTAGGCAATCGTGGAACGTTTCCTTGCTCCTCTCGATAGGGATGGCTGATCTTGGTGTGTGGGGTGTCGAGGTAATATCTCGGTACTCATTAAATTTTTTTTAGAGGATCATGATTATTTTGGTACTCGTAATAAAATGATTGTGTGCATTTCTAGTTGATGCAGAGGCCAGGAAATAAAATTTAGGTTCTTCTAGAAAGAGTATTGACTCCGAAGGCACCCTAGCTGCCAACAACCTCGACTCCCTCCTTTCTCGATCCTCCTTGCTGGAGGTGGCCTCCATGGCCGGTTGGCCAGCGGCGGCGAGCCACCTCACTATGCTTGCGCCATCCCTTCTCCTAACCCTCCTTTCTCAATCTGGCATGTGGTTCGTGATCTGCTAGTGCCAGTGCTGCTCTTCAATGGCAGTTTGGCCCGGTCGGCTCGCGTAGCTCCTCCGTGATGCAGGGTTGTGCCCGTCCATAGCCTGGCCACAGGCCGACGCGTCCAAACGGATTGCCCCTGATTCGATCCGACGCGACATGCACGATTTGTGTGGATCCTTTTACACGTTGGTGCCTGGCCAGTCTGTGGCCTTGGGCCTGCTACTGCGGCGGTCAAGCTGTGGAAGCCATGCGATGGATCAGCGACATACTCCCTTCGTTTCAAATTACTCGTCGCAGAAATGAACGTATCTAAAATTAAAATACATCTAAATATATCCATACATGCGACAAATAATTCGGAAGGGAGGGAGTACATCCTACAGTCGGCTCTCTAGCGGCGGATAGCGATGGCCATAGAATTCTTCACCTTCCTCCTCCAGCCTCCTCCTCTAGATCTCCTCCTCCAGACCTCCATGTCCTCCTCCTCTAGATCTCCTCCTCCAGCCGCCTCCCTCCTTCAACCCATCCGGTAGCTCCCGCAAGCAGCAGGAGGGAAAACCTAGCCGTCGCTGAGGCCTTCCCTTCTTTGTCCTCCTCCCTCGCCGCAACTAGAGGGCGCGATTGGGCGAAGCCCTACCGCGGCGGCGGGGATCCATCGTTCTTTCTCGCGGTGGACTCGGCGCGGGCTGGGGTGCGGCGGCGGCGGCGTGTGTAGGAGCAAGGCATCGACCGCGGCGTGGCGGGTGTGCATCCGGCAACGTGGGGTGGAGTGTGCTCGAGGATCAGCGGCGGTGGCTTCGCGGCGACATCTTGACAATGGAGGATGCTCCTCGCGGCGGTACTGGCATGTCTCCCTGCCCGGCGTGGCCTTCTGACGACGCGGCGGGGGATGTCAGGGCAGCGGCCTTGGGCGGTGGAGCTAGTGGTGGCCTTCTCGTCATAGTGATGGGAGGTCAAGGACGGCTCACCATGGGGCATCACACGAGGGATTAAGGACCTAGTGTCCGGATCTGACGGTCGTGATGGCGGTTGCCGTTGTATGGGCGACGACAACAACTGACGCAACGGTGGGTGCTTCTTGTAGCACCCGAAATCGGGGTGGCGACCCCTCTTCTTCGACGGCGGCGGACTCTGTGGTCATGCGGATGGTGCGAAGTCTGGATCCCGAGGTGATGACGGCCTTCCGAGGCTGGTAGTGGTATGTGAGGTTGTATGGTCCCTTCCATCAACTGATCGGGTTCGATGCGACTCGGCAGGTGTCACATGTGTCTCTTTCGGAGTCGTTGGGCAGTGCCTGTCGCCGACAAGTGAAGCCTCCGGCGGATGCGCCACCGGCAGATGCTACGCACGACATCTCATGTGGGGACGTCAAGTTATGCCTGGTGGAGTTACTGTCACGGGGCATGCAACCTCGGGTTTTCTTTTCACTTTATTTCCGAGTCGATGTTGTTCGGCTACTGAATTTTGCATTCTTAATAATATATGGTTGTATGCATCGTCTCGATGCAGAAGCCGGGGGTTATCCTCCTTTTCGAAAAGAGCATAAAGTTCTTCACATGGGTTCATCTTTCCAGATCTCGTGGTTGTTGCTGACGACTCGTACTGGTGATGTTGTGCAATGTAGCCGGAAGGCTCCTTTGTGGTCTTTAGCAGATCTCACTTCGGCCAGTTTGTCTTCGCAATGAGATGTAATCTACGGATGATGGCTTGACGCAGAAGGTATGGTTGCGCAACGGCGATGCTGGATTTCTAGCGCGGTGCATGTAGTTGCCGAGATCATGAAAAAGTGATGGGAACAACACATAATTGACTTCGATTTGGTGGTGCTTCTCGAGTACCCAGTTTTAAACTCCGGGGTGAAAACGCTAGGTCTGACCCGAGGTTATACCTGCCGATGACGATGTTTTTGCGTCGTTATCTTGTTGAAGGCATTGCACGGATGTGCTCTGGACTCGTTCTTCATAGTGAAAACCTAGGTTTTGGCACTTGGTTGTTGAATCCGCTGATGATGAGGCTTGAGCGTCATTTCTTCCTGAAGGCTTTGTTGTTGAAGGACCTTGTTGCCTTTTGTGGTGTCAAGAGATAATTAATGTGAATATGGTTGCTGTTATAGTTTATCGATCGTTGTTTTGATCGCTTTGGAGGTTTTGTTTTTATCACTTAGGCATAACTTTGATCCTGTATGACTTTGCTATTTGCCAACGTCTTTAGTTTGTGTGTATGCATTGATATTAACTGTGTGCATCGTAGCTATGTAGAGATGGATTGTTTGCTTAATGTGTTTTTGTTCGCTTGATGCTTTATTCTAAGTCAATAAAATCCATCATTTATAAAAAAAGACAGGGGTTTGAGGAGCCATGAAAAGAATGAAGAGCCATTGCAGCATGGGAGGGTTGAGCAAAACGTAGAGTTCGTTCGGAAAGGGCGGGGGAGTGGGAGACAACAAAGAGCGAGCGTGTGCAGCCTTATCATCATAGGAAAGAGTATAGGCAGCATGACAGCGTGCGGTGTGCCAACTATTTCTTTGGTAGTTTCGTTCTTTTGAGGGAGGGAGAGCTGCTCGATGGATTTTTCTTGTGCTCTTTCGATGCGCTTTGTGTGTGTGTGAGAGAGAGAATCTCACACCTGCTATGATTGTTCACGGCCGAGTGAAGTTCCCAGACAATCAATCCTTTCTGGTCATTTTTGGGAGTGGTGCCTAATGAGTACTGGTTCAGCGTGTTGTTGCTACGCCTGGCTGCTCTCTCTCTCAGCTCACTCATCACTTACGGACAGAGATAGAAGAAAGAAGACACGGTCCGGCCGGCACACGAACCCTCAATCTTCTCTTTGTATTCACAGGCTACATACTCGACAACTTCGTGCTTTACATCAGCGATTAGCAAAGGGATTTATAACCAAGCTGGCTGCACACGACGCAACCCACCCGCCCTACTACCTGGGCACGATCCGCATGCTCCGTTGCTCCCGCACGACGCGCTCAGACACGATCGACACGGCCGGCTCAGCTGCTGGATCGTGGATCTCCCGCCTAACTCGCTACAACACACACTCATACGCATGCGCACACACGCGCCACGGCCGTACACGCAGACATGGCTTATAGCTAACATTCTCTCCCTAAGCCATGACTGCGTTGCCCATCCTGACGCACAGAACACCGGCTCCTCCTCGACGCAGGGGATGCCCTTCTTCATCTCGGGCGACACACGCCGCAGCTTTTCTTCTCGGCGCATTGATGCCGCCGACCACAACTACGGCCGATTTCCTCAAGCACAAACTCAAGCCACACTTGTTACAACGTGTATACGGGAGGTTCTTATACCCCAGGGTGTGCCAGGGCACGTACCTTACGCCCTAGTCCATGCCGAACGCCTGGTCTGGCCCGCTCTGCCCACTCCTGCGGCATGCACACACACGTTCAGGTCGTCCCGCCCGTCCCGCGCGCATCCGACGCGCCCGACGAATCCGACACCATCAGTGCGTCTCGCACGTCCCGCGCGCATCCGACGAGCCCGACCACACCACGCGACGTGGCTTATTCCAACACACATCCCCTAAGCCACGACCTAGAGGAGTCCGTCGTCGTCGATGTTGGCGCCGGCCAAGAGAGCCTGCTCCGTCGCCGGTCCTTTTTGCAGTTGCGGGCACTCGCGCCAGAAGTGTCCGTGCTCCCTGCACTTGTAGCAGCGCCTGCGCTGTTGCCGCCGCTCCCCGACATCACGCTGCGCCCGTCGTCGCGCGGACCTGATCGGCGCCGAGGAACCTCACCTTCAGGGAGTCCCATACCTCTCTGGCGGTGAGCTTCGTCGACACTTGCAGCAGCACATCCTCCGACAACGCCCCGAGAAGCAACGCGCGCGCCATCTTGTCCTTCCGCGTGTTCACCGTCGCGTCGCCCGGCGCCACCGTCTCCCATACGGTGTGGACGTCGAGGATCGCCTGCGCCTTGATGGCCCAGACCGTGTAGTTGTCCGCGGTCAGCATCGGCATCGCCATCGTTGCCGATCCGTCCACGCTGCCACCGTGTGGGACGAGCGTCATGGTCGCCGGTAATCGCCCGAACCGAAGCTCTGATATCAATTGTTGTTGCCACGCCTGGCTGCTCTCTCTCTCTCTCAACTCACTCACGGACAGAGGTAGGAGAAAAAAGACACGAGACAAAGTTTTCTGGCCGGCGCATGAACA